GAACAACACACATATTTAAATCTCATTGAATGTCCTGTTTGGTAGTACTTATATTGATTTGATCACTTGGTCGACCCTCACCTATATCCTCCGATCCGGTAAACACACTCGTTATATTTATATACATATGCCGTCAATATCATATAACTCAATTCTTTCAAATTGACGTCAATGTACCGTAAATCGTAGATACAAAACTTACATTATCCTATTCCCCTTGACAGCAACATGTTCCATATAACAGTGATAACATTCTTACGTAATAATTATATAACATCTTGGTAACTTTGATTATGTTAACACAATATCTTGGGGATTATTTCAATGTCACATCAATTTATTTACAATAAATTAGTCTTCAACACACGGAAGTGACAACAACCAATCCAATTGCAGTATCTCTCGAGTTTTCGCGAACAAACACGAACGATAGAGGAGGTCTCGTCACTCTCGTCTAATCGTCCAGAAGTTAGAAATTAAATGGCGTCAGCGTTGTCACGTTTTGTTATGTGTTTTGTTATTTGTTACTTGATCAGCAAGTTAAGCGAGTACCTTGAGAATTAAATCATCCAAGTTTCAGAAAATTGATTGGAACGTGAAATACTCTATTTTCTAGGGGGAAACCGCTATGAAATGGACGGGTCTTGAAACGGACAGTTGTCGTAGTTGCTATGTGTTTGTATGACCGCATATTTCACATTCACTTATGGCAACCCTGTACGTACCCAGATCCCACTACGACCGAAATTGCGCGCCGACGCAGTTGATTATGAGTCGACAGCATGCATGTTATTATTATCAGGTGAAAAAGTAAATTATTTGTGAAAATAGTGAACTATGTCACAGGTATAAGCTGTTGAAATTAAGTCAATTTCAGATTGATGAGATTTAAACTAAGTTACTCTAGTACTTAAATGTAGAGATAGATCTTGTGGAATATTTCTCAATTTAATTTTCGTAATGTCATTTTTAGGTTAACCGTGTGTTGTTTTGAAGTGGACATCAGACGCTGTGTTGAAGCGGACGTCTGATTCTGATGATGAAGTTCCGCTGAGTCAACATTACCGACTTCCAAAATCTAAACCCAACAATAAACAACACCAATTCATACCAAAGGAGAACAAAAACCCTAATACTCGAACACTGCGATTGAACAAGATAACTGTGTTTGTTGCAAGAAAGCATATCAGCGTAGCAAGACAGACTGGGTACAGTGTTCCTTATGGTCTTCATGGGCACATGAAACTTGTGGCCTTCAGGGTATTCGACATTTTCATTGTAATAACTGTTCCTAAGAAAGTTCCTGTTCGAATAAAAGTTATTTTTGAAGCAATTAATGTTCTTTATTGCGAATATAATTTTCAAAACCACTACTGTCCTCTTCAAAACCTTCACTGTCCGTTTCAATAGGTACATCGATGTTTTGAAATGGACGAAAGCAACTTTTTTCGAATTTGAATATTACTCAGACCATGAAGTTGTCTGAGTTTTTTTTTTTCAGTTTATTTTTACAACATATTGATGGAACTTTCCGATCATGCAGTTTTGAATGATTTAATGGTCTATAAAATTTTGATTCCGTTGTTTTTCTTAAAGTGTCCACTTCATAGCGGTTCTCCCCAACATATAAGAAGAAAACAAGGTATCTAATTGTTTAATGAAGAACCTATATCAGTCAAGTGAGAATGTTGAAGATATTTTGAGTAATGATTTTCTTATTGTTTTGTGTCATGGATTTAGATAACCAATATGATTTCCACAGGAAGCAGGGATATGAAGATGAAATAATATTAAATTATGCTTGGCATCATCAGCAACCATCACAAACGAATATGGAGTTCAAGCAGGAGGTATATTATTAGTATAAGTATGGAAAAAGTGGCATCAACATTTAAAAACATCGTACAACTTGTAGGTTGGTGAATTTTTACAGATTATGGTGTTATATCAAAGACTGGAACCTTTGGCACGATGATAGGTACACTACATTGTTTTACCACTAGGTAAACCGATTTTTTAAACGCCTCGCCATGTGTTTCGCTAACCATGTTAGCATCTTCAGGAGAAGATTAAAACGGAGATTATGGTGTATATTATGTTCAATAAAATATTAATTAGTCTGATTGATCTTTTTTATTCATAAATATAAGTATATATAATAGTCACCTTGCGATTGAGTATATATAAGTGAGACGTATAATTGTTATCTAGATTCTGACGTCACATTGACATCTCATTAATGTAACAATAATGTAACTAGTATTACAAAGAATTGATATCACGTATATGATGTAACGTGTTGATGCGGGCATTATGCACAGTCAACTCATATATAAACCGATATGTATACTCATATCTTTTGTTAAGTACCTCATCATCGAAATCATGTAATATTTATGCGTTAGTTACGTAAATGTGATGTTTTATGGGTTATACTTATATATCGAGCCAAACACATGCATCTTTACACAATAATTATTAATCGTATGCGCATGCATCAAATTAGTCCCATAATGAACCGTGACGCATGCGTCAAGCATCTTTCACATTACTTACGTTTTTTCGACGCTATCGAAACATGTGGCTGAAGATGTTTGTCGGTGAAAACATAGGTACTTTATCACTTATTTTAGCTGAGCCAGGTTGAACATCATTTTCTATCAATTTGCGCCATTTTGTTTCATCGTGATATGAAGTATTTATTATTATTGAGAATACTGCTGACTGCTGGACCTTATGAATTATTTTGTAATTTGACAAACAAATAGTCAATCATCCATGCAGGTGTTTAAAGTCAATATGATTCGAAGCAAATATATACACTACAGTCATTGTTGATTAGTATTCTGTATCATTTCATAATTGTCTAATGATGATTTTAAATAAAATTCGAGGTAGATATTGTGGCGCCACAGATTTCTCACCAAATTCCTTATCTAATCTGTTGTCCCAATGGGAATCGAACATCGACGAGATATATAAAGCTTTCATGTTTGATAAATTATATAATTACATACTGATTCAACAATTTATTGCGACATTTATGCACACATCATTTGTATCATTCCTTTAATTGAGGATTTTGCTCTCATCAAAGAATAAGGTTATCGATATCTTGTCCAAGAAAATTGGCATTTTACGGGGGCATATATATAGTATTGGTAGGTTGTACATGGTACCTATATACCATCTTTCCTAGGTATATAGGCAATGTTGATAATCGAACCGACGTATCAGGCAATAATAGTATGATGACAGACAGTACCTACTATATATATATACGTTTCAGTTTCAATAAGAAACACATATATAGAAGAACTCAAAGAACATATTTATCGCATATATTATGTAATACATATATACATAATAGAGAGGTTCAAATGAGTTTTTTCAATAGCAATAGGATCTAAGCAAAAGTGATGCTGAGCCTCGATGCGAGACGCATGGACCAAGATTTTTATACAATGATTCTCTATATAGGTATATGCAAACTATTTTGAAGAATCAAACGTAAACAGAGATATAATTTCTTATTCACAGCAAAATTATAGAGATGGATCGAGAGTTCAAAAATATTAATTTAAAAATCTCTTCTGAAATATTTTCGAAACTATAAAAAACATTGGTGCGGTACTAAATTGGAATAATTATAGAAGAAAACCTGGTTGACGACTTGGTATGGATAAATCGGGTAGAAATTGCTCTTTTTTGTATTAATTAATAATTTGAGATCTGTTCATTTATGTCCCGAATTATCGCCAAATAACAGAATTTTTCAAATCCGTTTGAATTTCTTTCGATGGAAAACTAATTAAGTTATATAGCCATCTGAGGAATAACAATGTCAAATTGGTTTTGAATATACCTAGGCACGGGCAGCGAATTAAAAAAACGGTATCCCTCTATATGATCTATATATATAATGAAGCGTTTTCATTAACAAATGTTTTAACGACATTCATCTTGAAATGGTTTCAATTAAATTGTTGAGTGCATTATTTCTGATAAGAGATTATCTAATAATAGTTCTTGATTAGGTACATCATTATTCACATTATTGTTATTGCTATATTCAACTAAGTACCTACTTATATACAGTAGGAACTATACATATCTATACCTGTTGAGTAAATCACCGCAAAAATTCAGTTCTTTCACAGCTCATAATACCTATATAATTATCAAATTATTATCCAACATAAGAACAGACATTATATGTAGGTACCTACCTATATATGCTTTATGTTTACTTTACTATTATTATACGCCCATAGTGTCATATTACGAATCATCAGATTGCGGTAATGTTTTTATATAGAGAATATATATATATATATTTGAGTCAATGAATACTTCCTATACCGATATTATTTTTCTGTCATCGAAAAATCGATATAGTTCGGGTGAATGTAGGTAAGTTCTGATCATCAAGATATCATTATGAAGACGACCATAATAGAAGCACGTTCATGTAAACAATTAGTCCAATTACCACAACAGCACAACACTTCAAATATTTGCTCATTATACCTATACTTCAACAAAAGAAAAGCTAATATTTCACGAAAGATACCTACCTACTTAATTACCTACGAAGCAAACTTACACTTTCTCTACGTAATCCTCGTGTGGAATTGATTTGGCAAGATAGTGTACCTATATTAGCTTAGATAAATGTGCCTTACAGAGACCGATTGGTAAGACAGAGGAATAACGGGGGGGTACAGTATGTCCCTACGAAGGGGTATCGTCACCTACACCGTACGTCCACCTTGTCAACCCCCCTTAAAATAGAGGCCACGCCTCCCGTGCGCACGCTGAGTTATCCCCACTTTTGTTACAGCTCGGGACAAGTTGGCTATGCGATATGCGACATCTCTTCAGTAACAGTGCTTCTGGACCGGTGCAACCTGATGCGGGTATTTGACATCTCGCCAGTTTAGTGTTCTGTATACATCGATTTCCGATTGTTTTATGTGATTCACAGCATTCAGTGTTTTGTGTGTTGGATGGATTTGGGTGGAAAAGTGTGTACAACACCAAAGGATAAAATATACAGGTATGTTTGCTGATGATTTTATTCGTACCGGTGGCTAAAGGAGATTGTCATTCAAAGTTTTACATGCAGGCGATTTGTGAAATTGTGACCACTGTACGATTGATAGGCTGTGGGATTTTTTCTTATATTGGACAAGCATAAGAACACGTTCACAATAGTATCGAAGAGCACATAGGTAGATAGATCATTATATAGGTATTCTCTGAAATGCGAAGGTGCGCGAAATATATATCTAGCTGTTATCTTGAAACTCCTGAAGATTTGCAGCAATTTGAATAAAATATTACATCTCCATCTGTCTAGATGAGGATTAAATAAAGTTCATAATAATACCTATATCGAGACCTATATCTACTAACTTAGTAGCTGGTTACTACTCAATCAGGTACCTATCTGTCAACCGGTATCATCATCCATATTTTCATCACTTGTCAATATTGATTGCATTATTGCCAAAAGACATTAACGATGATATAACACCGAGTTATAACACCTGATGCTGATATAGGTAGGTAGTGTTGAGGATTCATCATTGCATAGGAAGGTGATTGAAACGAATCTATGAAAAAAATTGAGAGCAGTTATTTTTCAAAACTGAGTACCTAGTATACCTATTGATAATAAAAAAAAAACTAAGTAGGTATAGTTAAATGGAAAGAGATGAGAGTGGTTGACATGGCAGAAGATACCCACCTTGGTTTTAGAAGACTATTTTGAATCGAGGAATACCTATACTTGCCCGGTATGTTGCTTTGCCTCTTATATAATTTTATCTTGTATCCAAAACAAATTGGTCGATACAAAACGCATTTAGCTGAAATAGTCCTTGTAACGTTATCAGCAGTGTTAATGTCATTTCCACAATATCATCATAGATGCCTTAAAGTTTGCATGTTTTGCAGAAAACATGTGAATTATCTCAATTTAACTCACAACATGCATTTTTGTAGACGTTATCTAAGTGATTTTTACATTAATAAGTAAATAAATGTGATATTTCGAGAAGCAGAGCGATTAACAAGGTTTGAATTTTCTTCTCGATTTTCCTTCTCTCGACGAAATCCCAATTGGTAGGTGATTCTAATTTGGCGCCCAGGTTAACACTAACTCAAACCAATTTGTACTGAAAGGAAACATCACGAACTACGAGGTGTAAACAAATCTCAATGTACTAATTTATAATACAAATAAATTGTTTCTAATGAATAAACCTAATAAATAGACGAAGTGGATCACGAATTCGATAGATCCAAACATTCAGAAATCATGATGCCTCATTAAAGTTTCTAAACAACTCGATGGTTTATACAATATGCTCGATCTTTGAGATTTGATAACTTGCATCATGAGTATCTATACATGTAAATACCTATATTTAATAAATGGGGTTTGGTTACAAAATAATCAAGATGCTTACCTAGGTATGTCATGATATCATTGATATCCAATCCGATTTTAACAATGAAGCTGATGCGATCGTAATATTTATGGAATGTTTCCCAAGTCATCATTGATGGTAATATTTTAGGTAGATCATAGGTAGGAAGAGAGTATAAAATGACAATGAAAATTTGGCAATGTCCTTATTCATTTACACATATTTTTCTCGTATCCAACAAAAATAAACTTTATTTATGTCGAAATGAGGAGAATCCTAATTAAGTAATGGCATCAAGTGAATTGACAATAATAATGATGCTAAAAGTCATTCAGAGAGTAATTTTGTATATCTCAATGACACACACACACACATGTTCTAATATGTCATTATGAAAATAAAAACTCCCCAACCATAATAATATATAAAGTATTAAAGATTAAGTTTGAGGATTTTTTTGATCAATTTTATCATAATAATTGGATGCGTTTGTGATGCTGGAGTGTTGCCGTCGCTATACTGAATAGTAAAGTTACTACATTTATGTCTCGATTTATGTCGTAGCTGTAAATAATTTGAAAATAGCTATAAGTATATATGTGTTTTTAATGATGGTGTTGATACCTATATGCGCCTACTTTACGTACCTACCTATAGTGTTTTGGTTCCACTACAATTTTGAGATGTGAACTTGTTATTATGCATTTTAGTTCTTAAACGTCCTTTTAATTTTATTTTGTGATTTAAGTGTTGGTCCAAAAACGCATAGTACAAAAAATTACTTGGCACGAATGCATTTTGGTCCTTATTAACATTTAAAATGTTTCAACCAGCTATTTCGTGCAGTGGTCAGAATCACAGACACTAAAATTACATAGTGTTTTGCATATCATTTTTGCGAGAAGCAATAATTTTTAGTTAGGTATAATTTTCAAAATGGGCATTTGGGTCTTCTTCTTTTTATCATGGTCTAATGTCGAATTCGGGTATTTAATGATACAGTTTCTCAGATACCGAGTGGGATGTTATTAAACTGTGCGTATGGAAGTTCTTTGCTATTTTAATGTCGATATAGGTATACCTATGTGTTTATGGGTTTCATTCACATTATACCCTGGACTAGATATAGATACCTACACGATAAAGTACCTAGGTAGGTATATATTATTTTGAATTTAAAAATATCAGTTAATTCGTGTTCATTTTATTTCACAATAATGTATTTTCAATCATGAGTATTAAAAACCTCGCCTACAAAAATAAGATTGTGAAACACAAATTAGCTACGCGTCTTTAGAGACAACCTGACTAGACTGTTTTCCGAGGATTAGAGGCAAAAAAAATTCCCACCGAGGCGTGGTGAAAGTACCTATTGGTGGAATAGATTCCAATTCAATTAATTTTTCAAGAAAAAACTGGAAGATGTTTAGTTTATTGGGCTCCTATGTTATCGAGTAGGTTATTGAATGTCCCTATTTGTGTGATTGTGTGACTTGACGGTAGCTAACTATACCTACCTATCTGAGTGTTCCGACGGCAATTCATAAGTCTTTTATATCTTTGAATATATGTAAATTTGCTCGATGTATTTAAATGAATGTTTCTTGGTATCAATAAATGACTACAGAAATGTCTCGTTTCTCTTACAGTAATCATAATGAAATAAGCTATCGAATAGGTAGGTATGTAGTCTTGCGTACTTTTGTCTATGTTATGCATCCGCAATCCGCATGCAATAGAGAATTCTGAAAAGTCCTAGGTATAGGTCTACCTATTTCATAATATTTTTTTCATTATGTATGCCTACCTATAAGTATTATTCGACTTGGGTAATGTCAATTACGAATTTTTCAAATTTCAATTGATCTTTAGCCGATTGTGTCAAAATACAATAGTGTAGGAACCTCGGTAGGAACAGAGAGAGATGTCTAATCGGTGCTCCCCAATTTTTGTCTATTCGAAGTTATCGACGAGACCATAGGTATTTTTTCAAAATTGTGAAAACACATTTCCTCGGAATGAAGTAGGTATATTTAGCTCGAGATTGATATGTAGGCAAGTATGTATTTTCATAGTATGACAGAAATGAATGAAATTTTTGAAGAAATGAGACTATATAACGGATGAAAAAATATCAAATCTACATGAACATTAATGATCAATGATGTGATCAAATTATTTATTGGTTGGAATTCACCTATTTATTTGTTCTACAAGGAAAATTTCCAAAGAAATTTCAGCACAAACGGTATGTAGGTATACTAGATCAAGAACGGGTTCAAGATATTCAAATAATGGTTTCATGGTTTCAACGAGGATTTAGATTCGAGCACTTCAATGAACTTATACCTATATACCGCTGAGTACCGCTCTCAAAATGGTATATTGGAAAAGTTATGACGATGTTCTCTGAACATTACAGGATATCCCTTTTCGTGGGAACCAGAACATAAAAAAAACCTATACATGTGACATTGCCAAATTATCATGTTCTTAGGTAGGAACTTTGATTCTCAGTTCCGCAACTAAACCAAAAGTACCTATCTCAAACTGATATAGGTAGGTACTCAATGATTACATTTATATCGAATTCCAGAAGGCGCGAGAACTCCTCCATTTTAATAACGCATTTTCCTATTATATTATGTGGTCTCTTTCCAATTCCATTAATATAGGTAGTAGGTACCTCACTACTCATAGGTGTAGAAGGTATTTGATCAATATTTCCAAAAGTTGAAGAATTATTTAATTAATGCAAAAGTATTTGAGTAGTTCACACCAAGTATTCAGATATTCCAAGAAGATTCAAATATATACAATTTTAATTTGATTATATTGCCAATCATGTACTATTTGAATATACCTAAAAATTAAAAAAAAAAATTCAAAAAAAAAAAAAATTACTACCTGTACCAGAAAGTATACTTTTATTTAATTACAAAAAATTACCAAGCAACAATATCTAATGATGGTGACACATTCTCCTCGAAATATAAGTAGACAACTATTTGAATAATCCGTTTTTTAAACAAGAATCTAATACTTATGACCGAGCTTATTACATTCCTTCTACCGGCAGAAACTTCACAATCCCTGACAATACTTAAAAAAATAATTCAATTGCGAATAAAACCGAGCTTATTACATTCCTTCTATACCGGCAGAAACTTCACAATCCCTGACAATACTCAAAAAAATAATTCAATTGCGAATAAATGATATATAGATATTCATGTACCAAAGCGCTTTCAAGATTTAAGATTCAAAAATAGTAACTTATCGAAGTTGACATCTTCTGTAAGTGGAGAAGCATAGGTACTAGAATGAGATAATTCGGAAATTTCAAGATATCGAGTAGGCCATTCGGCGCTCAACACTAGGGATGTTTTAGTGAACAATTTTATATCATTATTTAAAAGTACACTAACCTAAACTCGCTCTCTGTGGCAAACCGTTTTTTCTTTCTCTCAGAACTCTGTATATTTTCTAAATGGAACATGGAACGCGATCGATATAGAATAGCCTAAGTACATATAATGTGGCGTATATATTCATATTCGAAAATTACTCTCAATTTATTGCAATAGTGGAACATCAATAATTCTATCTGCACTATGTCATA